CGATTGATAATATTTTAAGGTGCCCTACAACCTAGACTGATCCTATTTTTGGATAAGAGATAAATCTTTCAAGATGTTTTACTCCAAATAATCTTGAAAAAATAATTGCAATATTTCCTTAGTTGTAATGTTCGTTACATTTCTGACAATTTCACATTATTTTATGTTCTCTGGGGACAAATTCCCTTCATTGCTCAGCGGTTAGATGCTTCTTTTTACATGCATTAAGCAAAAATAAAAATCCCTTTCTGTGAAACTCGGTAATGAGCATGTAGTATCAAGGCAAACTGTGCCTGCTAGTATTTCATACAGTAAAGGATACATTAGTGGTGTATTTCAGGAGAGATGATTATGATTACGAAAAGCACTTTTCATTACTGCAATGATAAGGCTGTCAACTCCAAGACTTAGTGGGCAGACAAACATTCACCTCCAACTGTTAATACATTTCAAGAGTTATAATAGCTAACTGCCTTAGTCATTCCTCAACATGCCATGGAAACAGCTTTTCTCACAAAAGCAACTCGACACTGGGGTAAAATGGCACGAGACCCATTTCTGGAAAATTGATCACACTGCACTCAAGAAGATGGCTCTAAAATGCGACTCAGATGTTGACAGTTATTTCCATTCAGCTTTTAATGTCATAATGCAAAAATGTAATAATGCAGTGATGGTTAAATTCATTATAGATAATTACTGTGGGGCACATGAGCACAATATTTCAATATCTGCCTACAGTAGCTAATTGCTAAAGGAGAAATGTTTACTCCAAACAGAGTTCCAGACCCTCTGGGCTTAGATAACAGACCTCTTTTTTTAATGTTTTGCCGTTCATCACTGTTACATCAGGGAAACTTCATCCTTCCTCACATTACCCATATAAAACTGTTACACGTAATTAATTTACAACAGATTATACGAGCTGGTAGATCTCAACCAGTCAACTATATTACTGGTTCTGTCCTGTCTGTACTGACTTTACTTACACTGTTTTTGCAATGTGTAACCGATTTTTGTTTTTAGATTAATGTATTTGTTGCTTTTTTCAACAAAGACTCAGCACAGGTTCATGGCTTCCATAACTGTCTCATTAATGAAGCATTAAGGGAATATCACCCATGCAATTTAAGCAGCAGAAAGACAAAGTACAATGTGAATCTATTCTTTTGGCAACTCCACGACAAGGAACAACACTCCAAACACAAAACACATGATGGCAGGATACAGTAGCCATGTCATATATGTATCACTACCATCACTACCACAACAGACAGTGCCCTCGAGATGTCTTCATATCCTTGATGAAATAAGATAAACATATGACAAAAAAGGTTATGGACTGAATAAAGTGTCTTGCTTAGAGCAATTCTAAAAATTGTTATACTGCAATTGTAATAGCATTGCAAAGAGCAAAACTGTATCTGTCAGAATTACCAAAATTCCAGAAAACACAAGGGTCATATTTTGCCTTTTAGGATTCTTTTCAATAGAATTAAACAAAAACAAATCTACTATAGCATTCTGGGCTATGAAAGAGAAAAGAAAGCCTCTGGACGCTATATTTCTCTGTGGTTTAAAAAAAAAACACAAATGTTTTTAAAAAGACGTCCATTAGTAACAACCACCATCAGGGTTACAATCAGAGAGCTCTCTGAAGACTAGAGGAAAAAGATCATTCACCTACCCAAGTGGACCATGCCACCATGAGCTGTGAAACAAAGTAATAATAATAATAATAATAATAATAATAGCTTACACTTATATAGCACTTTTCTGGACACTCCACTCAAAGCGCTTTACAGGTAATGGGGACTCCCCTCCACCACCACCAATGTGCAGCTCCACCTGGATGATGCGACGGCAGACATAGTGCTCCCATCCAGGTACTGACCAGGCTCACACCTGCTTAGCTTCAGTGGGTTGCCAATTGTGAGATGCAGGGTGATATGGCTGCTGGCTATGTGTTTGGGAGGCTACTGTTAACCCAGAGGCAACATACACCCTGGCATCTTCAGGATAGGAAAACTATCATTCCACATCACCTGCATTAATGTAGCAAACATAAGGTAACATGTATACTATGAGATCTTGTGTTTTGATGCACTTCATGTTGGAAAGGCTACCAGCACTAGAAAGCACTACATAATGTGGTCTGCTCTTACCTAATAAGTGAGTCCAGATGTTGCCAGTCTCCGTGTGGATTCTGAAGATGCTCTTGAAGCAGGCTCTGAAGGAGGGCATGGGTGGCCTGTGGCCATGCAGAAGGTAGTCATTGTCCTTCAGCCAGTCAGGCAGCACATCATGGGGTATAACCCGCCACCTTCCTTCCCAGACCTAGGAAATGACGATGAAAAAGCTGTCTCTATGTACTTGTTGCATGGTGTTCAGAGAAGATGGGTTATTGAAAGCAAGTTGGAACTTTCTACAATCAAATAAGGATTAACATTTATCTTTGATCCAACCAAAACCCCATATAATCAGTGGGAAACAAGGCAGGCTGAATGGCATTTCTCAACTATTATCCCTTTATGATTTATAAAATATTATGCCAAACAACAAAAAGGCTTTACATGCAAAAGCATTGTACTGCTATTCTTAGCTCATAAACTACGGAGTAAGGATATCCCCATCAGGTAGCCTATCTGGATGAGGAAAGAAGGGTAGGGGTTTTTGGAAGATAACAAATACACTATCCAGCAGGGCCAAGAGAAAACTCCAAGCAAATTCAGCCCCTGCTGTGCTACAGCTGCAAACTCATTCTGTATGAATATGCAGATATCAGATGGGAGTGGGCACTAGCAGACGATCTTTAGGTGACCAGTGATTTTCTAGCTATTTCAAAGTTTAAGTTTCTGTATTTATCTCACGGCTTCATAACCAGCATATTTCCATCCATTTTGTGGCAGATTAAGCTGCACTTGGGGGGAAAAGAACACACTGGTAAACTACTGCAGCCAACATGGTTTTTCACACTTCTGCCTATAAAAACGCTCACAGCTGTCTTGAGGTACGATTTCATTTTTAAACCCAGCGGGGGGAAAAAAGATCTGTACTGTTTAAGGTTACCAAAACAATCACACGTAATCCCAACTGTCTGTAATGAAAATCCGAGAGTCTATCAATCCTGTTTTAGAGGCAGAAGGGTCTTTTTTTGGCTTTAAGGACTCCCAAGGACTCTATGGGCTACAGGCAGGGAGGGGGCATGCTGTTTACCAGCAATACAAAAACTCTGTCTTCTTGCAAAATCTATTTAAGTGCAAGGTCAAGGATATTATATGCAGCTATCGGCAAAACTATTCAGATGCAGCAAGGACACAAGCAGTTACTGTACTCATATGTGCCCCAGGTGTCAACAATACCATACTGCAGCGTGTTTATTGGACGGAGAAAAACATTTTAATTTAAAATGACAAAAATAAACTGTATGGTGCTCACTTCCGCTTTTACCTTACCTATTATTTCAGTCTCCTATAAACGATCTATCCTGATGCAAATACCTAATACTCCTAAAATGAATACTATTAAGCTTTATTCGCTAATAAAATTCATTTCTACTTCGATCAGTCCACTGTTGCAATTGGACACTCCTGTTTTTGTCCCCTTTCAGTATATAATGTGACTACAATGTTTTACTTGGCAGTGAAGTACAAACCACAGGGTGTTAACAAGGCCTGATGGGTAGCTTTAATATCAGAGCAGGCAGAGATACAAACACCAGTATGTGTTTGGCTAAAAACTGGTCAAGCACGGATATGGCTGTAATTTTCTTTTCATTTTTCCCTGCATCATTCACTAAGCTGACTCACATTTGTTGTGAAAGCTCATCCACGGGATGAATCCATGGACAGGGAGCAGGACAGTGAATTGCACAATGATCTGCAGCCGAAAGGGAATCCAAGTGCTGCAGGCTGTGTAACCCTCAAACATGCTCATCTCATTCGTCACATCATTAAAATTAGACAGGAATTCAATTTGAATGGTTTGCTAATTAGTTATGTGTAAGTGTTATGTCTATTAGTGAGGCTATGCGCAAAGCCTAACTGATAGATGCAACAGAACAATAATAATACAGGAAAACAAAGGGACAGTAGTCCCAGAGAAGTTTGCTTTTTTGAGAACAAAACTTCCAGTTATTGAATTCTCCTCGCATGACACATCATGCAAAGGCCTGTAATCAATTCCATAAAGCAGATGTATTATGCCCAAACAAAAATACAGAAGAGTACTCTATACCTTTTTACAGGAGATTCAGGAACAGCGGAAACACCTGAGTCAAATAAGTCATATAGCTCATTTAAAAGTCACCAAATCATTTCCATTAACTTTTGGAGCTTATTTATATAAAATATTTTTTTCGGCATTCTCTAACACTACAGTGTAAGGAATTCTGTGTATATTATACATCTCTATGTTACACATGATAGATTTCTATGTAAATGTTGCTCAAGTCACTAAGCCTCCTTTGAGGAACTTGCTGTATGTCCGTCAGCGCATGCAAGAATGGAGTCACTGAGACGATCAAACATGAACTCACCTGAATCCAGAACCCCATGTCGTACATTAATCATCGCCGGCACGCAAGGTGAGTGGATAAAAAAGGAGGGACACAATTAGAATCAAACGCTACAAAAAGAGACATGTTTCTCACAAAGAATTCCACATATTTCTGATATGTGGCAAACGATATTGTAAACTAAATACACTGATGCAAGATCCGTTGCATTACTCTTTCGGTCTTTAAACCTGCGGTGTAGAAAGATCTTGATCAGGAGGTAAGTGGATCTTGCTGGTCTCTGTATTGTCTCTTACAGACCTCGTCTCTTTTCAGGATTAAGTGGCAATAACCGATTGTGTCATTGACTAGTCCTGAACAAGCAGGAGGGGTGTTGGGTTTAAATGCACGTCTGTGTCCTGGTGTGGTTGTTGAGAAAGTTATGAAAAATATTTTTGCAAGAAGTATTACTTGAGTAGACCAAGTAAGACCAGTATGGTTCTAAATCCTACTGTTGAGCACTCAAGTGAATTGACTATTTTTTGTGTTCATTTTGCTCTGTACTGTCCCTGCACTATTTTCTATTTCATGATGTTTTTAGAGGCTTCTGCAGGATTTTTTGGGGGTGTTTGGGGAATTTCTGTTTTCCTGATATTTCTCATTTCACCTGTAAAGAAACCATGCTTATTCATTTGAGTGGTGTTCTTTTTCTCCTTAACATCATATATGACTCAAAGAAGCATTACTTTTCTGACTAAAATACCCTCCCAAAGATAGGAAACCCACAGGAACCTGTCCTTGCAAAACAAATTCTTCTTTAATCAACCAAAAGGCATCTTCCTCAAAATTTAAAAGTGGCAGAAGTATTTGTTCAGGTCTAGGTTTGAGCTTCTTTCTGGTTGCACAGGCAAAATAAAGGGTCAATGGGAGTTTTGTAACTAATATGTAAGTACAAAGGCACGCGCGAGTGAAGATATTACTGGGTGGGGTTTACCTTGTGTACAAACTCCTCCATCCTCTCCATGGCGTGATGGGCCTGCAGCAGCGGGGTCATCCCCATGAAGCCTTCGTCTGCACTCTTCTCCTGCTCCTCCTCTTCCTCGCTCTCCTGAGCTCTGCATCCTTCAGGCTTGGGAACATCCTGAACAAGACAGACCAAGGTCAGTCGACACCTAACCCAGCGCCCAGCGCTGCCTTGAGACATAATCATTGGCAAGGAACTACCCCCTGTGGAAGAAAATACTCACTTCACTACTGAACTCCTAATAAAAAAGGTAAAAAAAATTGTAGGAGATTGCAGCATGTCATTTGTGCAAATGATCATTTTGCTTAAAGGACCTATGCTTGTATACATCTCATATTCAATTATTGGCAACATAATCATTTGAATATGTAAGTGAAAAGTAATGCTATGAAATATATTAACCTTATTTTAATAATGTATTGATAAAGGGCACAGAAACCTGGGGAAACTATTACAAACATGGGGTCATGTCATTTCTTAAGAGCCATTTACTTCACCATATAAAAATGTCCAGTAGCGTCCCTCACCAGGAAAAAGCAGACCGAAGATGAATGGAGGCATAAAACTGATCCAAACCTAAATCTCATCCAAATCTAAGTCTGGAATGGGCATTAAGTTACAGCTCTTAACACTTGATCCCTAAACAGTAGATTGCACTGCAAACACAGAGACTGCAACTAAACACGTTTCTGTTTATTAGTCCCAGTCAAAATTCTTGGTGTCCTACTAAGGCCAGATAAAATGTTCCTATAAACAAAACAAACAGGATCCCAAAGTGTACTGTTACCAGGCAACATACTAAACCACACATTCACAGCACAGTATAGGAGTACATTATGCAGCTGATAAATACTGCATCGACCCCCCTGACCCCGCTTATACCAGCTCTGAGGTTTCTGTGTAGCCACAGCCCCAGTTCCCTCATTAATCTTTTCAGCAGCAGCAAAATTGCCGTATTGAGAGATAAAGATGAAAAAAAAAGGAATATGTAATGTAAGTAATTTATCATGATACTTCCCGCTACGGCATACATTGCTTATTAAGCAAAACTAATTAGCTCGAGGATACGCTGAAAAGGAGCCTCCAGGCCCTGAATCTAGCAGAGCATCTCCTCACTACAAGGGGGGAATTTATGGCAATTTTTCTGCCAGCAAACTCATCCTGTCCTTTGTGGAAGGCCTGGAAACCTCACCCTGCGGTCCATGTTGGTCCTAATGCCCCAGTACAGTGACGGGGACACTATACTGTAAACAGGCGCCGTCCTTCGGATGAGACGGAAAACTGAGGTCCTGACTCTCTGTGGTCATTAAAAATCCCAGGGCGTTTCTCGAAAAGAGTAGGGGTGTAACCCCGGCGTCCTGGCCAAATTTCCCATTGGCCCTTACCAATTGGCCTCCTAATAATCCCCATCTATGAACTGGCTTCATTACTCTGCTCTCCTCCCCACTGATAGCTGATGTGTGGTGAGCGTTCTGGCGGACTATGGCTGCCGTCGCATCATCCAGGTGGGGCTGCACATTGGTGGTGGTGGAGGGGAATCCCCATTACATGTAAAGCGCTTTGAGTGGAGTTTCCAGAAAAGCGCTATATAAATGTAAGCAATTATTATTATTATTAATAGTAAAAGGATTGGAAGCAACACAAACAGTGCATTTGCAGTGGCACTGTAAGCTACAGCAATGGACAGCAGGCTTTACCCACCAGTGTTATGTGCCATGTGTTTATGAGGCAATGTTTACAGGCGAACACTAATAGGTATTAGTAATGTTAAGAAGCTTTATGCAAGATGAACATGTGCTTACAGAATCCACTGATTTTTCCAAACTGTTCAAAGTTTTTGAAAATGAGTAGTACTGTAGGTTCTATTGTGGTCTTTTAATTGCATTAATATGGTTGATCCTGTGTTATTAATTTTTTTTTAAATAGTTTCAATGCTCTGAAAAAAAATGTAATGGTTGAATTTAGGGGATATCGGAGATCACTTACATGTGCAATACTTTGTGAAACGTTGACAATATATGTTATCACGATTCGAGCCTAACTCGGTGGTGTTCTAACTGTGGTGAATCCCCAGACAGACACTGGCATCCAGAGACACCAGTTATGGGTTTTAAAGAAATAATGTTATGCAAATGTTTGTATTTATGAACAGCTAAGAGCATTTTATCGATGTTTTAAATGACACGTTTTTTTATTTAAAACACAGTGAGGGTTTAGAAACTTCAGCTTAAGACGTTTAAGTAATTTTTCTGAGTTTTTTTTGTGTTCTTCAAAGTGTAGCATCTTACAAACTTTAAAGGAATTCTTTCACATCTAAGCTCAGAGCTTCACTGATGTTTAGAAGGCGTATTGAATATCAAAAGGAGAGAAGATGACCAGATATTTTCAGAAAGTCTGACTGTGGTTTCTATTTCCAGCTTGACAAAGTAAAAAACAGAAGAATACTGCTTCATTCTAAACCCACTGGGAAATCTAATCAGAAAAAGAAAATAGGAAAATGAAAGCTGTTGACAGACAGTACAAACAAAACAAAAAAATCAATTAAAATAACGACTTCAGAACCAGTGACACCGATTTTTTTTCTATTTCTTTTTTAAAGATATTTCCCACGTGGTCCTGCATATCACAACAGAACATCAAACACAGAAGCAGCTCGAAGCACCCAAACAGTACAGCAGCAGATACATGTGCCGAAGCCATGACGGCATACTTAATAGGTTCAAGGATAATCTGAGAAGAGTGGAGAGGACAGACAAAACTAACAGACAGGACACAGCTAAGAACTGTCTCTCAGTTAATCACCTCAGTTAATTAAGTGAATTAAGCAGTTAAACCAAATGCACTGCTTGATACAGCTTTTGCATTATAGCAAGGCTTTATTACACATTTGCATATTACTTTTATAATCCATGACTATGGTTTCCTCCCTCAGTCCAAAGACATACTGGTAAGTTAATTGGCTTCTGGGAAAACTGTAACCACCAGGGTGTGAGGGTGTTTGTGTCCGTATGTGCCCTGCGATGGACTGGTGTCCGGTCCTGCCTTGCACCCACTGTTTGCCAGGAGAGGCTCCGTATCGGATAAAGCAAATAGAAAATGGAATGATGGACTATCCAACTTCTACTGCTGACCGGCAAAATACACTGATTTTAACAGCATGTTCTGAAGTCCTTCTATCCAAAAGTCTGTCAATGGATTTGTATAAGCAAAGAAATCCAAGAAGCAGTTAGATGATGGATAGAAGAAACCCTTCTTGAATGCCAAAGTGTTAGTCCATCCAACTCACCACCCATTCTCCACAGAGGGTCTGATAACGTGCATCACCTGAAGATATACAAGTATTCTCTACCATGATAAAAGATGACAGTGAATATTATGCTTTAAAGAAAAACATGCCAAATAAAAGTCTTAAAGTGCCTTTGTAACAGCTACAGTTGGACGACTGTCATGTCTAGCACTTCTCCTTTCTGTCCGGAACCAAACATTGCTTCTGCACTTAATATGAAAAGATCACTTTAATCTGAAGAGTAGAGAATCGGTTTGGTTGTAGCACTATGGAAATTTGGTATTAAAAAGATGGACAAAATTAATACAAATGTACATTCGGTGGCCACAACTTTTCAGTCACTACTGAGAAGTAAGGCTGCTAAAATTAATTAAATTTAAGTAAAAATTTTAAGTAAATTCAAAATAGATCACATTAGCTATGGGAAAACAGGTTTAGGCACAATGCTTTGAAAACAAATTGTGTATTAATGTTTTGTGCACTTTAAGGTGCATTCCGTTTTAAACATTTAAAATTGAGGATACAACTTTCAGGACATTTGTAGAGTAAAATGTCAGGAAGACAGGACGTGGTGGAAAAAAAAACTTTTAATGCCAAATAATGCATGAAAAGAGTCCTCTACACTGACCCACTAAACACGTTAGATCTAAAAAACATGTATTTCTAAGTTGAACAGCACTCCAAAATCCTGTCTCAGCCTAGACCAATAAACCAAACTGGAGTTCTGGATTTTTTTTTTTCATTTTATAGAAACATCTTAAGTCAAGCTATGTTATGAACTAGATAAAACCAAATCTGTTAATTTTTTAACAATATTTGCTCAGATAGATATTCCATACCACATTAAACCTTCAGCAAGCCACAGGACAGTTCAACAGCTTCATCAGTCATGAGAATCAAACCAGCTGGGAAAATTTGCACAAGCAAACAACAAAATCAAGCAATTAAAAAAAAGAATATTCTGAAGGCTAGGGAAGGCTGCATTCTTTAAAAATAAGCCTTTGCAGTAATTCACTTCAATTAAATATTTTTCACTACGTATCCTTTAAAATCTTTACAACCTTTCAGTTTTTTATTTTTGTTGATCACAGCACACAGCAGGAATTTGTCATTTGAGCTAGAACTTAAAACCACCTTTGAATAATGCAGCACATTGGGTATTTCTGCAAAAAAGTCAGACAGGAAACCCAAATTAGTTTTGGCGTGACAGAAGGAAGATATAAATGTAAATATAGCACTTTTCACAAAACTGCATGAATTTTTGGGGTGACTCTCAAATTGTTCAGATGAACATTCTAGGGATTAACTCTCTCTCTTTTCTAGCGTTAATCCCACATCAGCAGGGTCTGCTTGTCGGCATGCCAGTCTCCATTTGGTGGTTTGAACCAAATCTTTGAGCTGATGTTGCCATTAACTGCGACCGAGAAATACTCCAACCGGCGCGTCGCTCTGCCTGTCGTCGGAGTATTCTAGGGATGAACTACAATGTGGATTTCTAGGCCATCAGATGCAGTCCTAATTAATAACAAACTGCTTCCTATAAGCTACTTAACAAGATTAGCTTTCAGTCCGGGACATGTCAAGTTCACACACAAAAGGCCATGCAACAGCCAGACTGTTGAAAATGCTTTGTTTCCAACCATAATTTTGGAAAACTATTTCTATACAATTCTTTATATTGTATTAAATTAGTATTTTACAGTTCTACAGAGGTTAATAATGTTTAGATATTGTAATAGGACATACTGTACCATCATACGATTTGCATTACAGATTTCTTTTTAGAACTGTTACATCTATGTCTAAGTATTTACTAATATTGTTCATATGA